CGAGGTGGAGGCGGGGGGCGGGGCGGGGCGGGAGCCGGTGCGGGAGCCAGTACGGCCTGGGCGTGTCTTTGTGCCGCGGGCGATATTCTCCCCGCTGTGGATGCCTGTCTTCTTGCTGCGGTTCCTCTATTATTATTTTAACGTGTTTAATGGATTTCAGAGAGGAAGGGAGAGGGACAGAGGTGGAAACATCAGTGATGAGAGGAGGCAGCCCCGCACTGGGGATTCGCACAGTGACCTCCCGGTCCATAGGTCGGCACTCGACCACTGAGCCACCCTGGCCGGGCGCTGTGGTTACCCTGTAATTCAGCATCACACTCAAAGCTTGTGCAGAGCCCTAAACGCAATGGTAAGTCCCCAAAATACGGCAAAGGAAGGCCAGCGCCAATCCCTGCCTCGGAACCCAGAAGCGGGAGCCCCACTCCTGGCCCTGAGGGGCCACCGGCTCCTCCGCTCCCTCACTTCCCGCTCCGCAGCCCCCCAAGGCTGGCTCCCACCCCGTCTCTGCACAGGGGGCCTCTGACTTGCCCCACCTGCAGGGCTGAACTCCTCCGTTCTCCCGAGTGCTGTTCCTCCACCCGGCACACCTGCCAGTCAGTGATTCTCTCTCATTGATGTTTCTCTCTCTCCCTCTCCCTTCCTCTCTGAAATCAATAAAAATATATTTTGAAAATTGTATTAACCAAGGTCCTTACTGAAAGGGGGCGGGGGTCCCAGGATGCTCCTGGAACGTCCTTTCTTTTTACTTTAGTTGATGATGGTTGTCCCTGTCACTTCTCGTGATGCCTGTGCCAGCCTCGTCCCTGCCCCGTGTGGTCAGCGTGTTCCTTCTACATAAAACACACGTAGAGGGACGCTTCGTTGTCCCCGGGGCGGGGGCAGGAGAAGGAGGAGCACAGGGCAGCACAGGAACAGACGAGAGGCACCAGGAGAAAGAAATGTGACACCCTGTGTTCAAGTGGGGGAGGGGGTGGAGAGAGAAACAGGGCTGGGAGAGAGTTACAGCGACTTCACACCAGTTCATATGAAAAGGACTTCAGGTGTCGGGGGGCCCGCAGGCTCCGCGGAAGTCACGCTCAGCTGCCAGGAGGGAGACGCCTTTCCTGGTGCCGAAGCGCCGCACCGCTGTGGACCAAGGACACCGTGACACTGTGGCTCTCTCGCGGCCACAGTCCCCGGGAGTCACATGTCAGGAGCACAGGATCGTTGCTGTAAAATCCCCTCGTTCTTCCTTCTGAGTCAGCTTCTCCCGACCAGCGATTCAGAGTCAGGTGCTGGTCACCGGGGCCTCCTCCTACGGCTGTTTCTCACCCAGGTCACGGTCTGCTTATTCTCGGTGAGCGTTAAGAACATTTCCATGAACTTTATCTGTCGATGGCCTACCTGCGCCCCGAAAGGAGGTCACAGTCGGGGAAATACCGGGCCCAGCAGGGAGGAGGAGGCAGGAGAGGAGAGGTTCCCAGATGCCGAGGAAAGACCCCCAGCGAGAGAGTGGGCGGCGCGGCCCAATGCCACCCAAGTCCAGGGAGAGAAGCCGGGCCAGCCCGCCGGCGGTCAGCAGCAGGGGCCACAGAGGGCGCGCAGGAGGCTCCGTGGAGTGGGGGACGGGCAAGGCAGCAGAGGGGCTGCGCTGGCTACTTTTCAACAAGCGGCACTGCCCATGCTGAGGGGTGGCTGCAGGTGTGTGTCCGTGACCCGTTACTCTTTATTTTTTTAATTGATCAGAGAGGAAGGGCCAGGGGGCACCCTTCCCTCAGCAAGTTGATTTCCTGTTTGTCACTGCACACTTTTTAAGGCATGGGTCCTTGGCCTCAAGAAGAGTGTTATATGTACATTTCCTTCGGGCCCAGACTCTCCCATCAAAAAAAGAAAGGAAGGAAGGAGGGAAGGAAGGAAGGAAGGAAAGAAGGAAGGAAGGAAGGAAGGGCCCCGCCAGTTTGGCTCAGTGGTTGAGTGTCAACCTATGAAGCAGGTCATGGTTCGATGCCTGGTCAGGGCACATGCCCCTGTCGCAGGCTCACTCCCCAGTAGGGGGCGTGCAGGAGGCAGGCGATCCATGGTTCTCTCTCATCATTGATGTTTCTGTCTCTCCCTCCCTCCCTCTCCCTTCCTCTAGAACAGTGGTTCCCAACCTTTCCGATGGTCTTAGGCGACCCCTGTGAAAGGGTCGCTCGACCGCCAAAGGGGTCGCGACCCACAGGTTGAGAACCACTGCCTTGGCCACCATCCTCAGGTGAGGAAGCTGCAGTAGCAGGACCGCCGCCTGTCACGCAGGCCTGGTGCTCAGCGCCCGCACGGAGCTGAAAGCACACACACACACACACACACACATTTTTAAACTACTGTTTAATCCGTTTCAAAGACACACACATTAGAAAAGAACATTCACGTGTAAGTTACAAACATGGCTGAGACCCAGCCGGAAGCCAGGAGCAGCTCTGAGGACACAGACCAGAAAGGAGTGGTACCAGAACCGCCACGTTACAGGGCATCCGACCCAGCGGCACACGAGAGCTACGCACGGAGCTGTTGACAAGTAGCACTTCTTTAAAAACATGTTCTGGAATCGTAAAAACAGAAAGCACACAACACCACGCCCCGGGCTCACGCAGGGAAGGCACAGGAGTCCTGCCCCGCCCGGCGGCTGGCGCTGGAGCCTCCTGTCCGGGGAGCAAGCGTCAAGGTCAAGCATGCCAGGCGAAGGTCACGTCGGCTCGTGAAGGCAGGAATGAGGCCGCTCGCCTCCCTCTGTGCCCTGGGGCCGCTCCTGTTCCACCGGAACCGCGTTCACGCTCCTTCCCGTGGCCTGTGTCTGTCCCTCTGGTTCCGAGCCCGGCGCACACCGGTGACGAGTGGGGAAGCCTCGTCCGGGTCACGTCCGTGTCGGATGCTCGATTCCTTTCTCCACGGGACCGAGTCAGGAGCGAATGCACGTCGCTGACAAGTCCGCATGTACAGAACCAGAAACACAGAAAACGGGGACAGAGGCATATTGCAAAGGCCTGGGAGACTCTTTACATGTTTGTCCTCTAACGGGAAGGGACGAAAAGGAACATCAACCCATCAATTTCTCAAAGAAGTGAGCCCAGAACAGAGGGCGGTGGCAGGCCCCGGGGCCCCGGGAGAAGGCGGCCGGCGCCGTTTCCATCCCCAGCACCTCGCTCCGGGAGCCGTGAGTCACCCTGCTGCCGCCGCTCTGTAGCGTTCGGTCTTTCATTACGTGTCCCTGTCTTCCCACAGCAGCCGCATCTGACAAAACACGCCTGCGGGTGGCCGTGCGTCACGGAGTGAGCTGAGCCGTGGTTTTGCCGGGGTCTTCTCACCAGTGTTTATAGAACACGGGCCAGGGGCGTGTTTGGGTTGCTCCTTTGCTGTATAAAAGGCGTATGAACAGAAGACAGTGCTACAGGCGAGACAGACAGTCAGCATAAACAGGTGTCTCAGGCTCTGGGTGAGGAAGGCCGCCCAGCGCATGGCCGAGAGCACCTCAGCTGGTCACTGGGGTCTGCGGGGCGTTAAAACCGACTCAAATCAGCGGCGCTTTAAAGCAGGGGGAAACCTTGTCCAGCAGCCCAGCCGTCACAATGGAGCCGGCTGCCTCCTTCTACGGGAGCCGCGCGGCTTCCTGCCTCGCTGATGGCTGGGCCTTCCCGCAGAGCTGACAGGGAAACTGCTCTCTGCCTCCCCTTCCCTAACGGCGACTGCAGGGAGATTGAGAGCAGGCGCTGCAGACACACGCTGGGGACACTCCCTACAGTCTCAGCTTTCAAATGCACATCCGAGTGGGATTTCTCCTTTCAGAGGCAAACCTTTCCCTTCAGCTCCAGGACCCTGCATTTCGAGGCGAGGCTGCAGAGCAGACCCCCCAGCACCTCCGCTCAGGGTGCAGCCGGCCGGCCGCTGG